TGGTAGTTAAAAGGCTTGTCGGAAGCCATGGACAAAATCCTTTGGACGGAGTGACGTCACTAAAACGAGGTGGAATTAATATTCAGTCACTGGTTCTCCCTTCTTTAAGAGGATCCGAGAGGTCGACAAACAGCTTGCAAAGACGTCGACATTTTATTGGGGCTTAGCTGAAGAAGATTTTTGAACAATTTCAGTGAAGCTGAGCGCGAAGCAAACTTTCGTCACTCGCTAAGTTTTTGATAGTTTTGACATATTTTTTGACAGCTTTACGTCAACTTTCTGTTGGCTTTTTAGACAGGTTTGCCGGCAATCAAAATAGGAACAATTTGTAACCGCTTTACGGCTACTGAATGGCTTTTCTGCCTCTCAGTGACTTCTTCAATTCACATTTTAACAACCAATGTTTATTTTTTCAATATTTCACGTTAACATGAATTGTAATTGTGTACTTTAAATCTAAAGAAAAACAGACATGAGAAAATGAGCCGTGTTTTTCAATGAATTGTGGTTTTCTTGCCGAATTCTACCTTCAATGTAGAATCTTTTTCGTAGCTGTCCCGCGCGCGGCCGTCTGATGTTATGTAGCCGCGTTCTACTAAACAGAATTTTCAACACAAGTGGTCATACGATAAAATGCTTATTGACAGAGTTAGGTCGGGCGGACCGAACGCTGCAATAAAATATTGTATCTTGTTTTTGAGATATCTTAACTAATACCTACGGAGAAATGGCGAGAGAATATCAAAAAAATCTGTTCTCAAGTAACGTTCTGATTGGTTAACTCTTTCCATGTGACCCGGTTCGAGTAATCGCGCTGAAATTGTGAAGTAGATGTCTTTCTAAATTTCCGTTCTGTGAAAGTTTTCGCAAATCCTATTTTAGCTTTAAGCAGTCCTGCTTTAGGTGATTATCTCCTATACAAAGTTCGTGTCCATTTTTTCTTTAAGATTATGAGTTCCTCAAGGGCTTCGTAGTACACTCTCTTGTACCCATCGTCACCCGTCACCACTACCCACGGGTACAGGTTCTCCACCTCCTGAGCAATAACACCGCTGTCTTTTCCTCTCATACCCAGTTCTTCAGTAGCTTTTCTGGACCACACCCAGCTGTAGCCCTGGAGACCAATCTCCTCGAACTTGGAACGCGGCACAGCTGTGATGTTTTCTTTAAGGCGCGAATCGCTAAAAATTCCAAACAGGACGGCACCGCCAAGAACAGTCCTAACTATGTCTCTTTTCTCCCTTTCTCTTGCTCTTCGAGCTGCTGCCTGGGCTTCATACGCCCTTCGTTGTCCTTCAGCCCTCTTTACTTGTTCTTCTAGAATTCTTCTCTGTTTCTCTGCCTCCTCTCTCGCAGTGCGTTCTTCCTCCAGCCTTTTTTCTCGTTCGATTATTTCTCTACGTCGCTTCTCTTCTCTTTCTCGTTCTCTCTCTTCTTCTAGTCGTCTTCTCTGTCTCTCTTGTTCCAGACGCTTTTGTTTCTCCTTTATTTCATCTTTTAAAGCAATAACACTGGCCACTCTTTCACGCGTAAATTGAATTTCTTCCGTTACAGCACAATTCTCAGCAAACTGGCCCATTGCTTGGTCAATGGAGAGCTTGATCTCATCCACGTCCCTTTCCAGCAACGGTTCAACGATTTCTTTGAATCGACGGTCACACAAGTTTGTTTCAAGAGCGATGTACGCATTTGAAAATCCTCTCCAAGAATTCTTGTTAATCGCTTCCTGAAGTCTCGTAGCGAGATCAGCGATCATTTTGCCATCCATAACTCCTCCACGAACAGTTTTTTTGCAAGGAAACCTTTTGAAATCCTTCGCGAGGGAGGAAGCAATATTTGCATAGTCGTGGTCTAAATCAGTCAATCGTTTCGAATCCTTTACAAACGGAATGTCTCTGACTATGATTCGATCGCGAGTAAATAGCCTGCTTATGGTTTGTCCGTATTTACTGTTGCCATTCAGCACCGTATCTTCAATTTCCGTTTGTAGGGTCTTCCCTGGTGACGGCGATAGCGCATCTCGTAGGACCACCATAAGTCCCGGATGCGAGTTGGCGCTGTACACATCATCATGTTCCCAGATTTGCTCGCTTAAACGCGACACACGATACAGAAACTGTATATTGTGATTACTTATTCTTTCCCTGGCAAACAGCGCTACACCTGAAGACATAAGGACGGCGAAGATGCTCAGTAAATCGGTGACCTCGTTGTCCCCCACATTGGTTCCCTCTGTGTCGATTAAAATGGTGTTGTCAGCACCGTTCGCGTCACGCAGAAGTGACATCCACGCGCCCGAGGTACAAGGTTCCATGCTTTCGCTCGTCTTAAACACATTCTGAACCATTCCACTTTTCTTTCCTTCCAGAAAATATCTGATCAAGTTCAAGTTTGTCGATTTGCCCACTCGTGCGTCCCCAATGACACTGATTATTCTCAATGGACCTCGGATGGACTGCAGCTCGCGAAGAGCATCATCTCCGAGGACGAACTTCTCGCTTTGATAATTGTACCTCAAGAGCGGCTTAGCTGGCGGACTGTCGAGACAAGCTACCCTCAAAAGATCGAAAACGAGAACTACAACTCCTAATTTAGGTTCCATGTTCAGCTTGAAGCTCCACGAGGAGTTAGCTGATTGAAGGCGATCTTGTCAAGCGGAAAATTCAGTTGTTATCGTAGATCGATGGAGGTTACTTTCGTTATTCAACGCTTCCGGAATGAGGTACTGTTGAATGCAGGCAACTCGTTTACTTTCGATTTGGTGATCACGCTTTGGGGAAAAATCCCGCAGTAGGTTACGGTTTCCTATTCGTGTAAACAAAGATCATTCCTCGAAAACACCCGCAGATCAACTTAGATGACCTGTATGTCTGGGAAAAAACCTATTTCGCGATTTGCATCACATAAACAATTAGACTTTCGGTTTCTAAACGCAGTAGGTAACGTCACGAAACGACAGTCCACTCGAGAGCAAAACGAAAACGGCAAAACGAAAAAAACAAATGAAAAATTATGTGCCAGTTAAGATTAACTTCGCTTTTCTCATTATTCACGGATATTAAACACCACTTTCCTTGTGAGTTAATGTGTTTTCGTTTTCATAACCTTGTGGGAAATAACCCATCCATAAAGACTCAAGTGTCGATGTCAGATGAGATTTGGTGACACAATACCGTGCTGAACAAGGACTATAGTAAATATATGTATCATCAAATCCATCCAGAGCTGTTTGCTGAATTACAAGAAAAGTTATATAGAAAAAAATATGTTTCTCTGAAATCTTTCCTATGGAATCAAATGGACCTGTAGAATTTTTTCCGTTATCTGTGCGTTCATGCGCAATAATTATTCTGGAAAAGGTTTACATTTTCTAGTGGGCGGCTCTCGATGTCCCCCGGCGCCATCGCCGTTCTTAGCACAAAATTACTGAAAACTGCCAAACTGTTACTTCACTATAGGATTGTGGATTCGCCTAAGTCAATTCAATTAAATTTATCGATCTGGATTCTAGGAGGAATGAAATATTGTATTCAAAAATAAGTGTTCCACATGGATGCAAACACGAAAAAACTGACTGACCTCTGTTTCTTGGAAAGCTGCAGTATCATATGCCACGTGTGTCGAAAACCTGTTTTTCTTGTCTGGAGTATTACAGATCAAGGGATAAACCCCTGAATAGTGGGAATCCAGTTTCACTTATCCCTTCTTGGTCTGCTGCCGGATTGACTGCGGCTGTCTTTCAAGCAGACTGGCAAGAAGGATGAATACTTTTTCATTTATCACTTTAAGTCTTCAGGGGACAATTTTCGTCTTCTCGTTTTGCCTAGGTGCTCATGGACAGACAGCACAGCCCCTTCTCACGTGTAACTCCGCGAGGAAAACTTGCGAGTTAAATCGAAGCTTTCTTCAAGACATTGCAAAACTTCCTTTGCCTATTCGAGTCATAGCAATGCATGGGGATGCAAAAGTGGACAAACGGATGCTTTGGAAGATGATCAACCACGTTTGGAATGGAGCAAATCACACGTTCGTCGAGGAAATCTTTCAGACTGGTGACGGTTTCGCGCCCCTCACGCGCGGAGTGTGGGCGTATATCACGCAGAACAAAGAGGGAAGCATTATTTTACTGGACGTGGAAGCCGACGATCTTGTCGACGAGACCCTTGAAGCGCATCTTCACATGTTTACGGGAATGATTTCGTCTGGTTTGAATATTATGGTTCGCGAGTACATTCAAAACAGCGACTTGCAGTCTCTTTATTATTTAACGCGCCTGAATGAACTGATATTTCCGAATTCCAGCGGTGGAAACTTTCCCAAACTCCGAGTAACCGTGAGCGGTGGGGTAAAAGATCCAACCGGCCGATCTGTTGAAGATTACACCAGGGATTTCATAGCGGGGCACTCTTTCCAAAAAGGTATGGTAGAGGAGAGAAAGATCATCGCAAAGTACTTCCCAAGGAACGAAATTGCCGTAAGTGAAATTCCACTAGTTGAAGATCACGCACTTTTTAAGGACTTTGAAAAGCTGTCCGGAAGTGACTACCTGAAAGCGATGGTTACCTTAGCAACACAATTAACGGAATTTCCAATAAAGAGAAACAGCGAAGGAAGGCCTATGCATGGTGTTGCGCTTACAAAGCTTATTGAACGACTCACAGAAACCCTTAGCGCAGGTGGGTGGATGAACTTTGCAAATATTTACAACACAATTGAAAGCAATATTTGCAAGAGGAGCGAGGCCAAGTTCCTAAGACCGCTTTTCAAACTGGGATCAGGGCAGATAGAATTTGATGAGAGAAACCTTCTGGATGCATTCAAGAAAGATTGCCGACTGGACAGTACGATTATATCTGCCAGGAAAAAGCTACAGCAAATAATTCAAGCAAAAAAGACATTGGAAGATTTAGAGATCGCTCTCGCGGAAAATGAAAGCAAGAAAATGGAAGAGGTGGAGAAACGAGCTAACACAGAAGAGGAAATTCAGAAAATAATTGAAGGCAAAGACAAAGAGATCGCTGAAGAAACCAAAGCTCGCAAGGAAGCTGAACGAAAAGTTCAGGATCTTTTGGAAAAGCTGAACACTTGCAAGTCGCTATTAATAGCGCAAATCGAGAGAGGATGGATTTACGCATTGCGATCAGCCCTCAGTGATGAAGAAATCCCTGCTGAATCAAAGTTGCTTTACAGCAAGGCTCGAGAGAAGAAAGAAGCTCGAGAAGACGACACGAATTGCAACAAAATGTATCAGGACGAAATAAAAACGCTGAAGGAGAATCAAAAGCGAATTATCGATGCCTTAGAGACAAAATATTCCCTTCGTGAATTGTCAGAGGCTCTGATAAAAGTGTTGAGTCTTTGTAGTAGTGTCATGGGACTCGCGCTTCAGATAAGAGCACTACTTCGTTAAAGAGACTGTATTATACTGCTTTATCGAGGTGAAACTTCCTCCAGTTGAAAAAACAAAACTTGTCCTGCCACTGGAAGTTTCTAATGTGCTAATTGTACAAAGGTCTTTATTGTCTTTATTCAGCTTGTAATTTACTGTCATGATATTTCAAATGAATTCAAGCTGTTAGACATTACTCTCGTATTATGCTGTTTGTATAGGTAATCGTACGGTTACGAGTTCAATTTGGAATCAATTTGCACGAGTGAGTTTTTCAAAAAGCTGAAATTGCACGAGCCACTTCGGCGAGTTTAATTTCAGCTTTTTGAAAAACTCACAAGTGTAAATTAACTGCAAATTGAACGAAAAAAACCGTATGATTACTTATTAATAATATAAACATGAAAAAATTCGCGCGGAGGAACTGCCGGAAGATCTTTGTTGAAGCCATTTTTTCTCATCTGAGAAAACTTTTTTCAAAGTTCCACCACAAAATTTTCGTCATCATTTTACGTGATATCATTTTCTTAGAAAAGTTCCTATTTTCTTTCAGTCGATCATAATCCAGAATTTCGATGTGTAATTTGCACTGGTGTTACACTTTTTGCACTGCTCTTAGCCAATCAGAATGGAGTAATTTTTTCATGTGTATTATTAGTCGTATTAAGAGTCTCTATGGGATTAACGGTTAGCCGTACAACGGGCCAAAACTTTAGCCGTCAGGCGTAAGAAATTGAACAATTTTAACAGGTAGCTGTAAACAATGTATGAGTGATGCCATCAGCCTAAGGGATAAATGTCTTAGAATTGTATCGTTACCAGTAAACATGTCTTTTATTATCACTGAAGCTCTTGTCCTGGAGAATTTAATGACCACAGCTCAGTACAGATCTCTTTAAACGTTTCAGTGCACTATCTAGAATACAAAGAAGTACAGCATATCATTTATTGTTTTTACATTTTTCTAGACAAACCTATCAGGTATTTAACTGATTTAAACAAGTGAAACATGAACGAAGTCCTTTTAGAAGCAATGGAAACACTGACACCAGCCATGCAGTGGGCATGTAATCATAATTGTAAATGAGATATTGCGTTTTATAGTAAATGTCTGTTTTTCTTTTCTACATATTGACTTTCACGTTGTGCGTCATAATGCGATGCTGGGTCACATAACCAAAAGAAAAAAAAATGAATAAAATTAAAATAACTACTTCTCAAAATTCGTTAAAGAGAAGGAGCCGGTCCAGATCAAGTCTGTAGCTAAAGTTAAAATACTATTTATTTTGATTCAAACAAACTTTATCAAACCCGATCACGCATGCTGTTTGTTGTCGTTTAGGGAAAAATCCCGGTTCAGTTATGTGTGTGGGGTGTTTGTTTGTTTGTTTGTTGTTTTTGAGGGGGGTGGGGAGTGAGGTGTTTGTTTTGTTTTTTTGTTTTCATTTTTATCCCTTAATCCTGTGACACTTAGCACATTTGTCCCTTATCCATAAAATTATCGACAGTGTTATCCATGTTTTTGAGTTCAGTTTTCCCACAGATCAAAGTGAAACGTAGCATTCAGTGGTACAAAAACTGCATTTTATTAATATCTTATTTAGGTTTTCCTTGGAGAATAACTGATTAATGCATACCTAAATGAATTGTACTGCAGTAGTCTATATTCCACTGCAGGGATAACGACTGCATATATTAAAACTGCAGGTCCTAAATAGTTCTAAAAAGTTTTTTTTTTTTTTCTAACAAACTTGCAAACCCGATCATGCATGCTGTTGATAGTCGTTTAGGGAAAAAAACCTGGCACTCTGCTCTTTTTGGGGCGTGTTGCGGATACGATAGATATTTCTGAGAAAAACTCCGAAACTGTTTCGCTTTTGATGAGTCAGTCTCGCGAGCGAGCAGTTCCCAATATTATCTTTGTTTAGCTTCAAAGTGTCGTAGAAGTGTGTAGCCTGCACCCTAACCCCCCCACTGTCGCCCTATTTCAGACCAAAATAGGTGATCTTCAATACCCTATTTCAGACCTTACCCAAAGCTCGATAACGCAGGTATTTCAGACTTGTAAAATAAGTAAAACGGTCCGAAAGTCTTATCCTTGGCATCGCACATACCCCTATAGCTTATATAGGTGAATGCCCTACACTTCTTCCATGATGTTGTAGGTGATGTTGCACTCGGTTCATTGTCTGCCCGATTTAAACGCCGCACGAAAGCCATGGAAGTGAAATCGACCCTTCTTGGCAGTCTCCACGATGCTAGAGCTGGAGTGAAACATCCAGGCGTTCAAACTATTGAAGAGTTTTACTCCAGAGCCTGACTTACAAGCCTCAAATCTCTCCGAGTGAAGGGAACTTAGCGTCAGTAACTGAACACCTCTATGAGGTACTTATTTTGCGAGGAATGAAGCCGACAGTGCCAAGACCTTGATAGAGATTGAAATAATCGAGTAAAGGACTTCCGAAAAACGCTCATAATGGCTTTTTTGATATTCATGACTCATACTGTAGTTTCAGCAATGCTTTAGTTAATTTTAAGCAATACATGTGGATGTCGAACGTATTTTTCCCGACTACATCACCATACATTACGAACATTTATGGTTTACAGTTACACATTTTAAATCACCAATCAGCTTATAGAAGATGTTTAGAGGCACTCGGTACTGACTGAGGAATACGCCAAGAATGTTAACTGCACGGCGTAGAGATGAGAGATTATATATATCTTCAGGTTTATGTACCTTTAGAATATTAAATTAGTCGATGGAGGTGTATGGGATACTGGCTTCGTGTATATAGCAATTAAGCTGAAATTAATTGATTCAAAATACAATTACGAAAAGATGACACAACCACACCCTGCGAGAAAGAGACTTCCTTTCCTTTCTACTCTGTGAGAGACGAGATAGCCTGCAAGCAGGCTCACCTTCGCGTCACACTGCGCGGGAGCAGCGAAGAGCAAAGTGATCCGGCGGGAAGGAGTCTGGTGAAGAGACCCCAAGAAAGTCACTTTCTCGTCTCGCGGCTTCGCCGCTCGATTTCGCGCTCGCGGTTACGCCGCGCGCGCTTGTGCTCCAACGTGAGCCTGCTCGCAGGCTAGAGACGAGAGGAAATGTCTGCTCACAATCGTCCGATATCCTATAGTGCACGCGCGAATACGCCAGCATGTCGCATATGTCGTGCTTTGTCATGCGAAGCGTTTGCGCGCAATCAAATCTTAGTTATTTTCGAAAATTTATTGAATTCCGGTCTATCCATCGCTTATTCGTTGAGACTACAGAAATTCCGTGAAGTTCTACGAAGTACTGAGCTACAAATAAACAGACGAATTAAACCGAAACTCGAGACCGCCCTTTCCTGTCTGCGTGCTGAGCAAACTGGAAGCTGGCTTCAGATAAACAAACTCTTAAGTTAAGTAACCGGTCTATTAACCCTCACATTATGCTTCATCAGTTGACAATGAATAGCTTGTTAAGGTGATATCATGTAAAACAACAGTTTCTGGAACTGTGCACAAGATCAAGGATTTCAAATCATTCGTCGGATTGATGAGTACGTGAAGAGACCATGTCACTGTAGGGTTGTTAATTGTAATTTTTAGCCAATCACAGGGCAGCAGATATTGTCGGCAGTCTTACAAACGAATAGCGTTTAGAATCCCATCCGTCATGCGTAAGTTATAAACCGGTGAAAACTTGTTAAAAACCGTTATTTTTCTAATTGTGGACGGCAGCTTGCCAATAATGGCCTCGTATACATAGCCTATAATTCAGGCTTACTTAAAAATAACAAAAGTGGCTGCGTAGCGGTTACGTGCAGCAGACATATTGAACCTGATTAAGTGGCATAGAAACAGTCGTATATTATCTTTTAAGTCGTATTATTTAGTTTCAATTTAACTTTTCTCCCACGTTGGCTAAAGGCCTGTTTACAAGTGAGGGAGAGTTACCCTAGCAAGCGCATTAACCCTAGCTGGAGGGCAAAAGATGGCCCAAGCAAAATTTCACAGACAGGGTAACCCTACAACCCGGACAACTTAAGGTGATTCCTCACATTTGCATTGCGCATCCTTACTGCGCATAATTTATGGCGTCATTAGCACGCGTTCCATTCTCGTGCCCAGAGCCTCCGTTTCTTTTGGTCACGTGGTCGGAGAAACGGACATCCGGTAACGCATGCGTAATTTTGGCCTGTATATCTGCTCATGCTCAGAAACTAATCCTGAGGGAGGGGAGAGAGGAATAGAGAGTATT